GCCCATAGGACCAGAGAGCTTGCCTTCCTCTAAATCAGAAAGCCAGGCTCTGGAGCCTGAGGCCTAAACGTGGTGCAGGATGGGAAGCAGTTTGGAAGCACTGGGAGGCTCAGCCTGTTTCCTCTTGACACCCGTGAGAGAGGGTTACTTCCCTCTTTACCTGCAGCAAAGCTGTGCTCACTACCATCCCACCCTCGGGGTCGCTGGGATGAGGACAGGCGTCATGTAGGGCTGAAACATTCTTTCTAGCGGCAACAAACAGGGCAGTGCAGAGAGGAGGCTACTTTTTAGGAGACTACTGCCAGAAACTCTCACCCTAGTTGATGGGACTCAATTTCTGTCACTTATGGGAAGGAAAAGGAATTGAGTTAACCAGCCCCATAACCTCACCTCCAAGGAAGACCAACCCGCTCCCACAGAGCTTGGCTAAGGAGAAAGGGTGTGAGCATGGTTTCTCTTGTTCTCCTATCCCTTCCACCAGCTACCCGGTGCTCGTCCCTCCTCCATGTTCCCTCCAAGAGTCGGTCACGTTCTCTCCACACTGGCTGACTGGTAGTGGGGAGCTATGCCCATGGCACTCAGAACCGAGTCTGTCTTTCACCTTGGCCTTGTCCACCCCCCAGCATATCCCCAGCTGGCACAGCAGGACCAGCAGGTAGCTTAGAATTGTTCCCATCATCGGGAGGGTTAGGCCTTCTCCTACGTTGGCATGTCAGGACAGGAAAAAGATCCCAAAGTTAGAGCACCTGAGAAGGTGGTGGTGGATGGCAAAAAGAAAAACTAAAATAAGAGGAAAAAAACAATACACTAAAGATGGTATGTGGGTGGAGATGGGCGAGGGGTGGTGCAGTGAGAGGCAGCTTGGTTTTCCATTTTGAGTTTCAAAAGCAGAGCGAGAAAAGCTGCAGGCTATGGAGTCCCAACTCAGCCATTCAGCCCAAGAACAGGCCAGTGTGTGACTGTTTTCATGGGACTCCAACCTCTGGGAAGTGAGGGCAGGACTGATCCTTCCCCCCACCCTCCACCTCCCATTCTATGAAAAATGAACCCAACTCCACACCTACACATTGGGATATAAGAAATGGCACTCTTGAGAGAAAAGGGGTTAAACCATTAAACTTGAGCTTTATTGGTAACAAGGTAGAATGCTAGTGTTTTTCAATGATTTGACTGTTCCTATCAATGGGATAATTTATTACTCAATTACCTAATTGGTAAACACATTGGAAAAACCTCTTCACCCAAGTTGAACAAATAAGCTTAGAGGGAGAAGGGAAGGTAAATTGTCTTAATTACCAGCCCCTCCCTAAAATTCATTAGCTGTGTCTGTCATTCTTTCAGTCCCTTAATAGGGGGCTTAAATTAGAGTGCCAGATGGTGAGAGTACAGTAAGAGAAGAAAATAGTAAATAGATGACAGCTCCTTAGCGCTCACTCTGTGCCTGGCCCTGTTCTAAGCGCGATCTGGTACTTACACATTTATCCTCACGGCAACCCTGCGAAGTAGGGACTATTCATAGGCCTGTTTTCTAGAGGAGGAAACTAAGAAACTTTCCCAAGGACAATGGGTCGGGTAAGTTAGAAAGTGGCTGCAGAGACAGTGCTGTCCTGGCTACACAGTGCTGCCCCTGTGACCGTGGACACCTGGTGCCTGACGTATGGTAAGTGGTCAGTCCGAGGGGCTTATCATCACTGTTTTCCCTTCTATCAGAGTCGTGGATGTAAAGTTTGATAATTAGGGTTTTTCTTACATATTTATGTACACATCTAATAATTTTTTTTTTTTGAGACAGAGTCTCAGTATGTCACCCTGGGTAGAGTGCCACTGTGTCACAGCTCACAGCAACCTCCAACTCTTGGGCTCAAGTGATTCTCTTGCTTCAGCCTCCCAAGCAGCTGGGACTCCAGGCACCCGCCACATGCCTGGCTATTTCTTTGTTGCAGTTGTTTAGTTGGCCTGGGCCGGGTTCGAACCTGCCACTCTCCATGTATGTGGCTGGCACCATAACCAATGTGCTATGGGCACCAAGCCTAATAAATTCTTTTTTAAAACAATTTCTACTACTACTACAACTACTATTATTAGTCCCAGAGGTATTATTGAAGTACCAGCCCCATTGTATGAGGAGCTTTACAAATTGTATGTCATTTTATTGTCCTGATCACTTCTTAATGAGATAAATACTATTGCCCCCATGGTATAGATGTGAAAACAGACATTTAGAGAGGGTAAGTGCATAAGCAATCTGCCACAGGTGCCACTGCTAGTTAGTGGCAGAGCCAGGCTTCAAACCCTTTGAAGATTCCAAAACCTTTGTCCCATTCATCCCGCCACCCACCCAAGGCACAAATGCTAAGTTGCTCTGCTGGCTATGGCAGAGACACATTCTTGACCATGGTCCTAACTCAGGTGCAAAGCCCAGGGCATTACCCCACAACTCCCTGCTCTTCATATGTGGGGGAGAGAGAAGCAGGGAATCAGTATTGGGAATTTGAAAGTTTGTTTTCATGAACCAAATGTTTCTTAACCATCTGCCACATTCTCAGCATTGTTTTGTGAGCCATGGGGGAATGAGAAAGATAAAATATGTGTTTACAGTCTAGTTGGGAAAATAGTACCCTTTTGAAATACCTTAAAGGATAATGAACATCTGTAAATTGGTAGTACCTCGTCCCAGATATTACAAGGTCTTATAGGCCTTCAGTCACTGTTAATGCTGGTACTTGCATAAGTTCAACCAGTTAAAAATAAAACAAGTTCATACTTGCACAGGAACAGAAAGACAAACCAGTGGAAAAATGAGAAAGTCAGAAACAAGTCCGGATGCTAAAGAGGAAATACCATGTTTCCCTGAAAATAAGACACTATCTTATATTTATTTTTTCTCAAGAAGACACACTTTGGCACTCTCTGTGCCAAAGTGCAGGGCTTATCTGCATAGCTGTGCCCATCACTAGGTCTTATTATCAGGGTAGGGCTTATATTTAACAAATGCATAGAACTCCTGTTAGGGCTTATTTTGGGGTTAGGTCTTATTTTCAGGGAAACATGGTAGTATCTGTTAAAGCTGACCTTTCAAATCACTGTATTTGAATGTGTATTTATTAATTATTATTCAGTGGCTAAATAGTAAAGGGATGTGGGAAAAATTAGCTGTGAAAAGGCTAAATCCCTCCTTCCTTTTTTACTCCAGAATAAAATCCTAACAGAACAAAAGTTTTATGAAAATACTAGAAGAAAACAGAGCAGGTTTTTTGTTTGTTTTGTTTTTTGGTAATCTTGCAGCAGAGAGGATATTTCTGAACATAGCATCTGAAGCTATAAGGGAAGCTGGGCATAGTGGCTCATACCTGTAATCCCAGCACTCTGGGAGGCTGAGATGGATGGATCACTAACTCAGGAGTTTGAGACAGCTTGAGCAAAAGTGAGACATACACACACACACCTGCCTCTACTAAAAATAGAAGATATCTGGGCTGTTGTGGCAGGCACCTGTAGTCCCAGCTACTTGGAGGCTGAGCTAAGAGGATGGCTTGAGCCTAAGAGTTTGAGGTTGCTGTGAGCTATGACATTATAGCACTCTTCCCAGGGTGACAGAGTGAGACTCTGTCTCAAAAACAAACAAAGAAACAAACAAAACAGAGCTATATGAGAAAACTTGATACATTTGTAAGGTGACCAGATGTCCCGCTTTTGGCGGGCCAGTCCCAATTTTTAACAATTTGTCCTGTGTCATTCAGCATTTTAAAAAAGCCCCAATTTTTGGAAAGAATGCACGACAAGCTAGGAAACACAAGAGAACAGGAAGGGAATATACGGTTTTCGGCTGCCATGTGGCTATTTCGCTAGTATATGTGTTTTATATTATTTTTGTTAATTTTATAATGTTAAACTTTAATAATAACAAATAATTGTTGAGAACTGATTGAGAACTGCTTATCAAAGTTTGCATTGTTGTCAGGCCCCGCCCCACCCATGGTGTCCCACTTTACCAAAGTTAAAATCTGGTCACCTTAAATTTGATCACACTAAAATTTTACACCTCTGCATGGCCAAGATATAACCAAAAGCAAAAATTGTACAAACATTTTTTAAAAGAAATCAAAAGACAAATGGTGTTTTGTAGCACATAAAACATACCTCAGTCTATTTTAATTTAAAAAGAGCTTTTACAATTTAATAATAAAAAATTTCAACAACAGAAAATCTGCAAAGGATATGAAAAGACAGTTCACAGAAAAAGGCATATGAATGGATTATAAACAAATCAAAAAGATGTTGGACCTCAGAAAGAAATGCAAACTAAATAAAGAGATAGCACATACGGCATTTTTACCGTTTATAGTCCCAAGAATCAGGAAGTGCAGTAATGAACAATTAGCAAGGACGTAGGAAAACAAACCTCACCCAGCCTGATCGAAGATGAATTCGTACAACCTTTTTAGAGGGCAGCTCAGTGTCATTTGTATCATATCTGGGGAATTTATTCTTAAGATTCTTTTACTCATGAGGGCAAAGATGTATGTACAGAGATATTTACTGCATCCTCAGCATAAATGCATAAAATACACCAAGCAGCAGTGCAAAAACAATAATTTGAGGCTAAATGGAAGAAATCTTGTCATGAAAAAGCAATGAGCAGAAATGTGTATATATTATGCTATTTTATTTATATAAAGAAGTGGGCGTGGGACACACCCATGCTTGTGTGCACACACAAATGGGTGCCAGTGCAGAATTTCTAGGAGAATTTCTAGGAGCAATGTCTAGAATTTGCTAACAGAGGTTGCCTTTTCATTGAACTTTTACTTGCAAGGTTTTCATTTGTTACTACATGCAGGTCTTATCTGTTAAACTGAAAGTGTTGGCTGGGCTCAGTGGCTCACAACTGTAATCCAAGCACTCTGGAAGGCCGAGGCGGGTGGATTGCTTCAGCTCAGGAGTTCGAGACTAGCCTGAGCAAAAGCGAGACCCCCGTCTCTTCTAAAAATAGAAAAACTGAGGCAAGAGGATCTCCTGAGGCCAAGAGTTGGAGGTTGCTCTAAGCTATGACATCATGGCACTCTACCTAGCTTGAGACTCTGTCTCAAAAAAAAAAAAAAAATATTAAATGTTTTTAAAAATAGAGAATATATTTGGTTTAACCTATAACCTCAGGAGTATCTACATGTGTTAAAATCCATAGAACTGTGCACTCCAAAAGTGTGTCTTACTCCACTAGATAATCTTAGAAATAAAATAACCCCCTAAAATACATACCATATGTGTTACAGGGTTAGAAGTTATGTAATAGCAGTAATGTTTTGGGTATATATCTATTAAGATAATGTCTCCTGGAAAACGTTTTAAGCAACCCTGCCTTTTAAGGATTGGCTAATTCTTACTGAACACTGTCACTCAGGCACCATTCTGAGCACACAAACTCAATGCCTTGCAACTAGCCATGAGCTGTGGACAGAAGCTGAGGCCCAGAGAGCCTACAAAAGTCACTACTGCTTTCCATAGAAGCAGCTAGATGTATTTGGAAAATGGCAGGACACGATTGATGGGCCAGTTTTCACACTTGGACAGCAAACCTTTGCTTTCTCGGAGATCGTTGGGGCTCCTGGGTCTACTGTGGATAAAGCTCTTGTTTGAACAAAGGTTCTTGAAGAAGTTCTAGGGTGAAGATGAGTTTGCATGGTTAAGACTAGGGAGCTGCGTGGATAAGACGGGACTCCCACCAGGACTTGAAGAACGAGGGATTTGGGCAGGTTGAGAGGGGGCAGAGGGCCATGGGTAGGGACGTCAACGTGAGTGGGGCCCTAAAGGCAGGAGGGAGCGTGGCTGCCCTGTCATGGGGTGACAGGCCTAAGTGAAGTGGAGGTCATATTGGAGGTGGCCTTAAGATGGCAGGAAAGGGAGGCTCTCAGACTGGAGGCCGAAGAGAGGACAAAGATCAGGTGAGGGGCGCCAGCACCCTACACCTGCACTGGGTGCTGAGCCCGGCAGGAGGCGCTGGTGAGCAGCGGGGAGGGGACTGGAGGGCAGGCCGGGTCTCAGAGTGAGCTCCAGGCCCCTGCCACCCTGAGCGCCAGAGCCCTGGCTACCAAGAGCAGGCCAGTCACAGGGATCACAGCGCCCGCGGGTGTGTGAAATCTTGACTTTTCCTTTCTGTTCCAGCCGTCACCTGCCCTCCCAACAGCCACTACGAGAGCTGCGTGAGCGTGTGCCAGCCGCGCTGCGCCGCCATCCGTCTCAAGAGCGACTGCAACCACTACTGCGTGGAGGGCTGCCAGTGCGACCCGGGCTACGTCCTCAACGGCAGGAGCTGCATCCTGCCGCACAGCTGTGGCTGCTACGCCGACGGCAAATACTACGAGGTACCGGGAGGGCAGGCCTGGGCCTGCTGGTCAGGAAGGGGGTTCTCTCCGGCTCTCCGCGGTGGGGCGAGACTGATCAGCCACCCCACGCGGGAGAGCGCGGTGCACGTGGGCGAGGGGCTGTGGGTAGTGCCCTCCCACACCAGGTATGGAAAAGCACATGGGCCGTACCCCAACTCAGCCCTCTCTCCCCCCACCCCACCTACAGCCCTCGCCCTCCTCCTCCTCCCCGCCACCTCCTCTCTCTCCAGGCCCTGCTGAGTCCTCACTCACACTTGTGTTTCTCTCTCTCGTCCATGTCTACTCCTGAGCCCAGGCCCCTCTGATTTCCTCTCCTGTAAATCTTAGTTAGCAAGCTTTGGATGTGGCTCTGGTTTGGAAATACCGTGGCTGTGAATCTGACGTTTGTAGCTGTCTTAGCTAAGGACGTTTTTCACTGGAAAATATGGAGCTTGAGGCTGGGCCGAGCGGCCTTCCCTCTTCTGGCTTCTGAAGCTCTGTGAGAATAGCTAAGCATACCCTCTCTGTGTAGGCCATTTGTCACCCAGACGTCGTTCCCCAGAGTTTGGTCCCGACTGCTTTATTGTGGTGACCTTGCATCCCACCCTCTGCTTCTCTCTCTGTGGGGGCTTACACTCAGAGCTGATGAAGCGGCCCTTTGTAGGGATTTTTCAGAAAAACATATTAGTGCGCTAAATCATTTTACTCTTCTGACTTTGTGATTTTTCTTTATGTTCCATAATACTAAGCTAGTACAAAGCTCTTGCCTAGAAAAGGTAGGAAATTCATGGCTCCGCCACAAGCACGGTTTGTATTTAAATGACATCAAAACCTTATGCTGGTGAGTAGACAGTTAACAACCACAAACAATTGAGTATCTGCTATTTGTGAATCATTATGCTGGTGGGATTGTAGGGGATGAGAAAGCAAGTTCCCTGCCCTAAGGAACTGAAAAATCTGTGCAGAAAGAAAAAACAATGTACTTTAAAGAACAAAAGAGCAATTACGAAATAGCATATCAACAAGTAGAAAAATAATACCCCGCAGAGCTAATCAATTTTAAGTGCGAAAGAATAGGAGGATTTAAAAGAAATCTAATTAAAGTGTCTGAATTGGAAATCAACTAGGCAAAAAATAAATAACGTCTCCTTTTTGTAAAGATGCATTGAATTGTTCAAGAACAACTAAGTTGTCTTTACTGTGGGAATAAAATAAAAGCATTGCGGAAGTTAACTTCAATTTCATTTTCCGTGGAGAATTTATTTAAATGCTGTATTGGAGAGACAGGTGAGGAGTGAAATAAAATGGCAGAACTAATAAGAGAAGACTTCTTGGGAGAAGCGATGTTGAAATGAGCCCTTAGAAATATCATTTGAAAGGAAAAGGCACAACCTGTGGGAGAAAATAATAATAATAAATTCAGTTTTCTCGCAATATGGGAGAAGATATAAACAGGCTCAAAACTCAAAAAGCACTCTTCTAAACCTCTGCTCACCAGCCCAGAGGCTTACCAAAATGTATCCATCTATCATCTGCCTGATGCAATCCTTAACAGAGATCCTGAGTGTCAGGGCGGCATCGTGGAAGACACCTGGTTTCATCCTAGCCGGGGGTGTGACACTGAGCTAGCTGCATCATTTCCCTGCGTTTCCATTTCCCTACCAATGAAATGTGGCTAATGATACCAACTCAGTAGGGTTAGTGCATAAATAATCTATGCCAAGTGCCTAGCCTAGTACCTGGCACGTAGTCCTTCAGTAATTGGTAGCTGCTATTGTTATTGTTGGTTTGTGATTCTTGCGAGAAACGTTTTGTAAATAAAAAATCCAGGCACGTTAATGAAATGAGGCTTTTAAAAGCGCTTGGAACTCTCAGCAAGGGCATGGCGTAACTCTTGGCAGCTATTAGAACTACAGGATAAACATTAGTACCAGTTTTGCATCAGAAAGTCAGTGGATTCTGACAAAAGCGTATGTCCGGGAAGTATCAGACTCACAGAACAAATAATCCATGTTCTACTTGCCACAACTCAAACCAGCCTGGGGGCTTGTTTATAAAGAGAATTTCTTTGGAAATAAAAGGAGAACTTATCTAGTCATTAGCATATAGGGTAATCACCCAGCTGTCGTCATGTCTAATTAAGGTAAAGAAAGTGGCATCAGGCCAGCCCGCTTAACTGTGATGTGAGAGTCGGGATGAAGTTCTCTTGTGGATGAGTTATTAACCCACCATCATCTCCACATACATCAGGGTATTTTTCCCTTTCCACCAATGTGACATCTGACTTCTTATCAGAGAGAGGCCAGACCGTCCACTCAGTTAGTCTATAAATCTGGTAAGAGAAGCAAAGTCGATTTGTGAGGCTGCTGGCACCCAGAATACGTTATAGGTCTGAAGGGAGAGAAGGCTGGGTCCCAGGAACTGCTTCCCTCTGAGGATGAAAGAATGAGCCACAACGCCTTGAAGTGGAGGAGACGTTCACCCTCAGATCTGAGTCACATCTGGAGTTGATATCTAGGCTTTTCATAGGTCTATATTTAAAGCAGAAAACTGACCAGAGAGAAACATAGGCCTTTCTGTGCTAGTAAAACATCTTGTCTGAAGACCCCTATTTCAGCCAGTAGATTATATATTGTGTGCCCCCCTCTCTAGCACACAGTCTGCTTGTCGGGACCACATGGACAGTTACGACTGATGTCCAACAGTTTCCTGAACTCTTAGGCTAGACCAAGTGCAAGATCAAGAATACAAACTCTAAATAGAGTTGTGTCTACAGATCGTTGCCTTTTGGGGGAAGAACAGAAAATAATAGCTGCATCCAACTGAGGCTATGCTGTGTTATAGGTATTTTATAGAATTTCTTCACCAGCTAAAGGAGGAGTGGTTCTACTTGTAGCAGCAGCTACTATTATTGAGTGATGACTTTATGCCAGGCAATGCACTTTCCCTGTCTTATTTACTTTAATCTTCACAACTGCCCTGCAAGACATCAATTCTGAGTTAGAGGTGAGTGAACCGACATTCTGGGAGGTTAGTAACGGTGCTCGAGATGGCACTCGTAGGGAGATAGGGCAGGGACGGAAACCCAGTGGTCCCGATCCCCAAACTTTCCTTTCTTGGGCTCTAGCTGTTCACTGGCTGTGTCCTATTCAGGACACGCAGAAATGAAAGAATTTCCAACAGAAGTAAATTAGACGTAGGCTAGATACCAGCAAAGAGCGAGGACTGGGAAATGATGAAATGGCTGATCATGAGAGTTAGTTATCACTATCTAAGGTTTGAAGAGGCAATTTATCATTCTTGAGTGAATTTAAATTTCATCTTTGAAGTGGAGCTTGTGCTTGTTAGAAGTGAGATTTCCTGGTAAAAAATTTCTACCAAATATTGTTCCTCTTCACCTCGTCCCTCTAACAGCTGCAGGCTGGGATTGGCTGTGATTAGATCCACGATCCAGCCATAACAATTCCGAGGTTCTTCTTGATTGAAACCAATAAAGTTTAAATTGCAAATTGTTGGGCACCTGAATCGCATGGAACTGATGTAAGGTTTGAATTGAGGCGAACTCTTTGCTGCTGGCTGTAGCAGATTCCAGCATCATTAGAGATACCTTAGTCCGGCCTGGTGCCACAGGGTCCAGAGGGACTGGGCTTTGCGTCCCCAGCCCCGAGCACAGCCTGGGTTTAATGCAGACGTGGCTTCTCTTCCAGCCCAAGCAGCTGTTCTGGAACAGCGACTGCACGCGGCGCTGCCGCTGTTTCCGGCGCAACCTGATCCAGTGCGACCCGCGCCAGTGCAAGTCGGACGAGGAGTGCGCGCTGCGCAACGGGGTGCGCGGCTGCTTCAGCACCAAGACGTCCTACTGCCTGGCGGCCGGCGGCGGCGTCTTCCGCACCTTCGACGGTGCCTTCCTGCGCTTCCCCGCCAACTGCGCCTTCGTGCTGTCCACCATCTGCCAGAAGCTGCCCGACATCTCCTTCCAGCTCATCATCAACTTCGACAAGTGGTCGTCGCCCAACCTCACCATCATCTCGCCCGTCTACTTCTACATCAACGAGGAGCAGATTCTCATCAACGACCGGAACACCGTCAAGGTGACCACGCCTGGCTTTGACTCTTAAGAAAGGGGCCCTGGGAACGAGGGTTTGGCAAGAGGACTGTTCGTTGTGGCTTTCCCAGATAACCAAGTTGGGGGATGATAGGCTGTGGGTTCTTATGTACCATACATGGATGAACAGATTTAAAGAGTCAGAGGAGAAAGAGTCTACAGGTGCAAGAATGGGCCTTTGTTTCCTTTGCTGAAGATGCCAAAGGCTTTGTAGGAAACTCCCAGGGACTCGGGGCCATAATAAATGGATGGCGTGGGTATTCGTACAGCCCCAGGTGATGAAATGGTACATAAGTTAGTTATACTCCAGGTTAATTTCCAAAAGCATCTCATTTGTTTTTAAGAGCCTTTAAATTTATTCTTGGCTCCGTCTGCCTGTACTAAGACCCACCCTCCATTTCTGCTGTCCTTTCTATAAGCTAAGAGAAGGCAAGCACTTGCCCATGAAAACGACTGCCTAAGTAAAAATCTGATGGAGCTTGCAGCTTTATCAGAGGGCCCCAGGCTGACATGCCAAGTGAAAGGAACAGGAGGCTGAATGTGGTGAATTTCTCTTTAGTTGGCTGGTCCTTAGGCCCATTGCCTGGTTTCTTATTTATCTTAGATCTGTATGTAACTGATTGTAAATCCCCCCTCGGCCCCTTAACTCCCATGGCTGTCTGACTTAGATCCCTCCCATTCTATCCAGGTAAGAAGGTCATCTGCTCTAATGAACTACTGACAGTTACCCCAGCCTCTCAGCTAAACAAGCCTGGTGTCCCTAAAGGATGGAGCCAGGCCCCAGTGCTGTGAGCACAGATAGGGAGTGGTGGGGAGAGAGCTGCAGTAACATTGTCTGGAATCCGGTGTTACTGTGTTTATTTACCCTTCACCAGCTCAGATAATAAGATATCGAGTATATCTTTATGAAGAGCCATCAGATAGCTTAGGAACTAGCGTTAGGCAAAAGACCAGGAGCACTAGTTGAGCCTAAAAGGAAGACCGGATTTTAATACTGTTTTTTCACTTCAATAAAAGCTCTTACTGTTTTTGACATCCTCATTCCTTTCACAAATTGGCCCACATAGGCCCAACAGCCCTGGTCCAGCATACAGGAGCTAGAAACAGGAAAATGACCACTTAAGAGAATAAAACTGACATCGTTGTCGAGGAAAATACCCCAAGCTAGCCAAAATAGCAGACTCATTTTTTAAAAAGGTGTCCGCTTTTTTGTTTTTCAAGGAACAAAAGTTACTATTAATAATAACCTGTGGGTACAATTTTTATTTTGTGAGTATGGGGAAAGCATGTTATATTCGGTCCCAAGGGCTAAAAAAGAAAATGTTATAAAGCAGGAAAATGACAAAAGCAGAAAATACTGCACCTCTAGGACCTCTGGGGGGACCTCCAGTTTGAACACTATAAACAGCAAGACGATAAACATGGCAGTGATCCCCAGATTCACTTTAACTGTGTTAGTTTCTCCTTGGTACAGGGTTGAGATTTCATTTTCAGTAATTGGTTTATGCTGGGGAAAGTTTTATACAAAAATATAGCCATTCATTGTGGCTTTTCTAGTATTTTCTTCTCTCTCCCCCTCCTTCCTTTAGGGGAACTGTGGCCAGTAAGATGAGTGAGTGCCCTTAAACTCTAGGGTTGGGGCTGGCACACACTGTGGCCTATGACCACATCTGCTTGCTGCCTGTTTTTATAAATAAAGTTTTATTGGAAGATAGTCATGATCATTTTCATATTGTTATATTTCATATTGTTCATATTATCTACGGCTGCTACGTGCATTAGGCCACGAGAACAGAGCATAATATTTGCAACAGAGATCATAAAGCCTAAAATGTTTTCTCTGGCCCTTTCCTGAAAAAGTTTGCCAGCCCCTGGTCTAAGCGTAATCACTCCATTTTTTCCCCCCTCCAACAGGTGAATGGCACACAAGTGAATGTTCCATTTATAACTGGTTTGGCAACCAAGATCTACAGCAGCGAAGGGTTTCTGGTGATTGACACCAGCCCTGACATCCAGATACACTACAATGGTTTCAACGTCATTAAAATCAGCATCAGTGAGAGGCTACAAAACAAAGTTTGTGGCCTGTGTGGAAACTTCAACGGGGACCTGACAGATGATTATGTGACTTTGCGGGGGAAGCCGGTAGTGAGCAGTGTGGTGCTGGCCCAGAGCTGGAAAACCAACGGCATGCAGAAGAGGTGAGAGTGTCCACTGGACTCTGTGCCCCAGATCCTCCCACATACAGGGGAGGCATAAATGAGGAAAGGACTTTCCTTAGCACTGTTCCTCCTCTCCCACAGGGCTGAGGCAAAGGTCTTTTGAGCTTTGATGATCAGAGGCCCCAGTGATTTCTTGAACTGCAGAGGAAGGAATTAGGCTTAGACAATATGGCTGTGAATTTTCAGGTCATCCAGCTCTTGGCTAAACAGAAGAGCATGGCTAGGATTAGAACTCTGAAGCCTTGACTAGCTGCCCAGCTGGGACCTGGGCAATGCTCTTGGGGATGGAATTAAGAGTTGACTCAGAAGAAGAAGGGCTCATATTTGCTCCTTGTTGCTGGTTCTAATTGTGTGTCCTTGACTCTTACCAGAAGGCTTGATTATGGTGGTATAGGTAGAAGTTGGTGGGAATCAGGAAAACCTTTTTACAATTAGAAATCAGGAAGGTTATTATCGGGCCTGCTTTCCCTGGCCAGCAGACATAGAGTAATCTAAACAAGTTACATGATATTCCAAAGGTCTTTAATTTAGGGCCCCTCTGGGCTGCTCAATTATGTTGAGACCTTCCTGGATGTATTGAAATGCTTTTCTTCTCTGTTACTTCTTTGTACAACGGCTCAATCCCCTTGTGCTTAAATAGCTAAATATCCATTTGTCTAAATGACACTCCTGAACTTCTAGAATTTAGAATTTTTCACTGAATAATGTATATTAGACTATCCTGTGAATTGTGTGACCCAGAGTTGGGAAGAGCCTTGGGCAATATTCTTGTCCAATCTCTTTCTTGGTTAAAATAGAGGCTAAAACAGTGAACAGTTTATATGAGGATGTTTTGAAAGTGGCAAAGGCAGATTCCTAATTCAATACTTTCTCTAGAGTGCCACACCTTGACCCACAGAGATAAAAAAGACAATTTTGGACATTTCAGCCATTCTGATGTTTCCAAAGATAATCAAGGCACCGTTTTTCCTGAGGAATTATGATTCTACTTGGGCTTTTTCCCCCTCTCTACTTTCCTCCCTTCCTTCCTTCTTTTCTTCTTTTATAAACCATCAGCAGCAGGACACCTATTTTCTTGTGACTGTTTTGCTTTTGGTCCCTGATAGCTAAACTAGAACTGGTTTAGAAGGCTTGTGGGACTTCCTTCTAAATATTTAATTCCACCAACTATCGCTATTATTACGGTTATTCTATCAATACCTGTTAATAGTTATACCAGTTACATCAATCAACTATATCAAAGTATTAATGATTTTTATATTAATATCTGCCTTTTATTGAGGCACTTTGGCTGTCAATCCATTATTTATTTTACCCCCATTGTATTTCAGTGATATGGACAATGGGAATGACTGCGTTAGGTTTACCTTCTTGGACGGATAGGTGGAGAGACTAGTCCTATCTGACTTTCCAATGGTCATGTAGCTAGTGATCGCTGGAATCAGCATGCAGCATTAACGTCAGGGGTAGAGGAGCTTTGCCTTCCCCTGGAGATCTCAGATGGCTGATTTTGCTCCACTTAGTCTGACCAGCCTTCTTGCCCCCCAGCTGCAATGAGCTGCAGTTCTCCCAGTACACAGCCATGTGTGACAACGTTCACATCCAGAAGATGCAGGGGGAGGGCTACTGCCTGAAGCTCACCGACATGAAGGGCTTCTTCCAGCCCTGTTATGGGCTTCTTGATCCCCTCCCCTTCTACGAATCCTGCTACCTGGATGGCTGCTACAACCAGAAGAAGTTCCAGCTGTGTGGCTCCCTGGCCGCTTACGGGGAGGCCTGCCGCTCCTTCGGGATCCTGAGCACCGAGTGGATTGAGAAGGAGAATTGCTGTAAGAGAATTGTTTTATTTCTATGGCTTTCTTTCTAAGTGAAAAGAACAGCTTTGCTGGTAGCATTGATTTGTCTAGAGGTGACGGGTCTAGCAGTAAATAATCCTGTTTACCGCTTCCAGGGTTGGAGGGAATTGGAGCAGCAACAAGGGCATTTCCAGGGATGCCTAACCTACCGGTAGTGCCTGGAGTTTGGGTGACTAAGGGGAAGGAAGGGAAGGCGTAGGCAAGCAGCGAATTGAGCAGGAATTGCATCAGCTCTATCTGCCTGGGTTGAAAAATACATTAAATTAGCTGATAAGACGTGTAGATTCTTTTACTTTTTTCTGTAGTAGGAAAATTGTTTTGATGTTTATTTCCATTATTTGTTCATTTTTTTACATGTTAACCAAATAGATGCATGTTGACCTAAAACAGACCCGTCACCTCTAGCACATATAATATATATAAACACATATGCATAGGTCATAGACATATATTAATATTTAAATGGTCACTCTCATTAATGTGACCAACAGAACATGTGTTCTGAACCCTGACCCAGTGTGTACACAGGTACTGCTATTAAAACAGGCTCATTTCGGCTCGGCGCCTGTGGCTCAAGTGGCTGAGG